ACTGCCTTCGGCTCAGGTCATGATCCTGGAGTCCTGGGATCGAGTCCCACATCGGGCTCCCTGCTCAGCGGGGAGTCTGCTTCTCCCTCTGACCCTATCCCCTCTCATGCTATTTCTCTCTCTCTCTCTCTCTCAAATAAAAAAAAAAAAAAAAGATTCTGGTAAATTGTAGAAAATAAAGGTACCAGAAGAGAAGTGATAAGAAAATTCCCGTGGTCTAATATTATTTTTCTAAATGAACTCATTCATTACTTATTCACTTTGGGTTTGATTTTTTCCTTTTTTTCACCTTGAATAATTGGTTGGATGGAAAGTTAATTGGTACGGTCAACAGCTATAAAATCCTACCAAGATCATTTGGGTGAAAAATCTGACAATGTTCTTGCGACCCAGTTTATTTTTTATTTTTTTAAACAGCAGAATTTGTTCTCATAGTTTTAGAGGCTGGAAAATTCAAGATCAAGGTGCTGGCTGATTTGCTTGCTTCCTCCTGGCTTGAAGACCTTCTCACTGTGTCTTCACATAGTGGGTGGGAGACAGAGAAGAAGCAAACTCTCGGATATCTCTTCTTGGTACTAATCCCATCATGAGGACCCCACCCTCATGAACTTATCTAAACCTAATTAGATGGGAACCCAAAGTTCCAGCTCCAAATACTATCACATTGGGGGTTAGGGCTTCAACATACGAAGTTTGGAAGGACACAGTTTGGTCCATAGCATAATATAAAATGTATTCTCTAAAATTGGAGGAGTCATTTAACATGTAGGAATAGTGGAGTGATATAATTACAGGAGTGTTTTAAGATTCATCTAGTGATGGTATGCAGTTGGTGATACTTTGAAGGACAGAGAGACAAGACAATTTGGAGCCTAGTGCAGATGTACAAACATGAAGTAACTGGTGGACTCAAACTTAGAAATTGAGGGAGGAGCTTTAATAGGAATGGAAATGAAAGGTAGTTAGAATGACTAATGCTCTAAAAAGTTATTTAGAACCACTTATAACTTTCTTTGAATAATGTGATGGAGGTTGGGGGAGATTTGAACAGTTTTTATAAAATACAAGGAGATTAAAATTGAATCCAGCGAGACTCTGATCCTTAGAGACTAAGCAATTAATAGCACCATCACCAGAATTTAGACATGCAGTAAGTTAGAGTTCTAGTGGAAAGAACAAAGAACTAGAATTCAGGAATCGTGAACTTTAGTGCTAACTCTGTCTCCAGACTTTACATGTAAATTTAGGTGAATCATAAATTTTTCTAGGCTTGAAAAGTTTATCCTCAGATAATTCTGATGATCATATTAGTTGTCAAATTAGATTTTATTCTATTTTTTATTTAAAATTTTTATTTTTTAACTTCAAGTTTTAAATTTCATTCTGATTTTTATGATATCAGGGAGAATGTTAATAATTTCAATTTAGAATTATTTCTTGAGAGAGGATATTAGAGCATCATATAGAATTACCTAGAAGATAGTAACTAGAAATGTGGACGGTGATACTCAGGAGGTTAGATTAGGATAGAAGTTCTCCCATAGAACATTTTTGATGCACATGTAGGGGATTTCTACTAGCATCTCATAAGTAGAGGTCAGGGATACTGCTACCCATCCTAAATGCACCCAACAGCCCCCACAACAAAGAATTATCTGGTCCAGACATGTTAGTGGTACTTATGTTGGGAAACAGTGGACTAGGTGGCATCATGCTGGAGTTAGATGATTGAAATTGTAGAGAGACAGACCAAACCAATTTCGGTGACTCTAAAGAGCAGTGTTTTCAGATGTGCCTTATATGCTTTCTTGCATTGCATATCTCCTAATTATGTACTTGATCTTAATTTTAAGGTTGTAAATCACTATTCATGACACTAGACTGTAAGCTTCATGCATTCACCACTTTCTACTTAGTACTTGTGTTTAGTGTCATACCAGTGTTGGGCAAGCAAAATATAGTTGTGGAACAAGTGACGAAAATAATAAATTTTTCTGCTTAATATTCTATTTCTTTTTTGACTTCTAAGTTGGTACACACATCTCAGGATTAAATATCTATGTGTTCCAAAATGATATGCTGATGTGCTAATTAAATTAATGGGAGGTACATGGCACATATTAGATGCCAGTTTAATTTTTATAGATGGGGTTTGAAGGGTCTACATTGGGCTGCAATGAATTCTAACATTAGGTTTTCAGAAACTGGTGAGTTATGATCCAGAGTTTAAAGTACCTACATCTTGCTAGCCTAAAACCGATGTTTTTCAAACCACTAGTAGTGAGCCATTGATGAGTCATAATTGATTTTGTAGGTCATGGTCAATGTAAGAAAAATGAAATAGAAAATATTAGAATAAGCATCCCATGTAGTAAAGCAATTGCTATTTATATGTTTGTGTAGTGAGACTCCATATACATTGTTTTCTGTTTGTTTGTTTTTACTATGGGTTGTGATAAAAAATGTTTGTGAAAAGCTAGCAGCTTTCAGTCCTTCACAGGCCTACAGAGTATCTGACATGGACAAGGTTCTAAGAGTAAATCATAGAAAATGTGGAATTAATGGAGTACAGTCTATTCTACAAATAAAGGTTCTGATTAATGAAAGTTACTGTTAATTCATTTAACAAATCCTCCCATATTGTGCCAGGCACTGTTCTTTGTGCTGAGGATACAACAATCAACAAAAGATAATCTCTGTCCTTTGGAGTTTACATTTTACTCGATGGACGGTAGAAAAGAATCAAGATAGATAAAGTTTATAATGTTTTAGGTGGTGATAAGGACTTGAAGGTGAGGGGAAGGGAAGAGAGATTGGGAATGTGAATTAGCAGTTGGTTGGAGTATTTGAGAAGCTCTTTGGGAAGACTTGCAACAGAAGTCTGAAGATGGTGAGGATTCAGCCATGCAGGTATCTGGATGATGAGCATTCATATTAGAAGGACAGCAAATACAGGGCCCTAAACAAGGTAAAATATTTAATGTGTTCAAGAAATAGCAAGGCGGTTAGTGTGGTTAGAGTGAGGTGGATAGGGGAGAGGAGTAGGACATAACTGCAGGGCAGTATGTAGGCTTGGAAGCATGGTCTTACAGGCATTGGAGCTATTTGAAGCACTTGGCCTTTTACTGAGTAAACTAGAAAGCCGTTGGAGGGTTTTGAGCTGAGCAGTGATAGAATGTGATTTGACAGAATTACTTTGCCTGCTATGTGGAAAAGAGACTGAGGTGGGCTGAGGGAGGAAATTCTGTTGGGTTTAAGTTCAGTGGGGAAGTTAGGATTGGAGGGAGAAATTTAGGAGACATCAGTGAATGGACTGTAATTAAAGTCTTGAGTTGGGATGTGAGATTATCAAGAGAGTTTGTTCCCAATTTGCTAGGCATGTGTTAAGCATTTGACATTGAATTATGCTATTTGTTGACAGTGGGTAGGTACTCTTACTCTGTTCTTTGAATTTGACACTTCTTTTCTATATTAATATTACGAAATTAGTATGTATGAATCAATTAGTATATATACATTTACTATAAAATTTTCTGTAATTCAGCTACAAAATAAGGTACCATTGAATTGTTGGTGCTTTTTAAAAAAGAGCTGTTACCTTAAGTCTAAGAAATAAGAACTTTTGCCTTTAAGATAAAACACATTTAAAAGTTTTAAACTTGCCAAAGAAGATGCAGCTGGTTTGTGGCTGACTTAGAATTCCAGCTTAATCTTATCTGACTCCAAAGCCCATGTTTCTAAACACTGCCCAATGATACCTTTGTAAAATAACATATCCTTTACATATGATTTCACCTAGTGATTAGTTATTAGTGTTTCCCTCTTTTTTTAATAGAAGAAATCATAATCAGCTTAAGGCAAAGCTATGATTCTAGAGTTGCACAGACTTATAATAATAGCAGAATTTAAAGCTGTCATTTATCCTCTATGAGTTTTAGTGTCCTTATCTTATAAAATAAGGGTGTTTATAACTACTGTAGAGTTTTGGAGAGAATTAAATAAGATAATGCATTTTTCCATACTTACTGATGTATAGTGTGTTTGTACTTAGGTGGCAGTTTATATAAAGAAAGCACTGGGACTGTGGCCACACCTTCAAGAATAAAAAAAAAAAAAATTAGAAAATGGAACAGCCATGTATATTATGTGAGGAAGAACAAGAGCTTGAACCACAGCAGAACATAGAAGAAACCAAAAAAGTAGATGATGAAGATGCTGAGCTGATCTTTGTTGGGGTGGAACATGTAAATGACGATGCTGAGCTGATCTTTGTTGGGGTGACTTCAAATTCAAAACCAGTTGTTTCAAATATTTTGAACAGAGTCACCCCAGGTTCATGTTCAAGGAGAAAAAAGTATGGTCACCTCAGAAAAGGTACTACTCACAAATTTCAGCCTATAAGTCATGTGACCCCTATATCAGAAGCAGTGACTGCCTTGCCAGTTTCTGAATCTGAATCAAGATCAACAGATAGTCCCATTATTATTGAGCCTTTGTCTAAACCTGATTATAAAAATAATTCACCACAAGTTGTGCCTAATAGCTCTTCAGAGTTATGTTCTCCTTTGATTACATTCACAAGTTCATTACAGCATCCAGTAGGAGCAGCACTTTCTGTAGGAGGTATGAATAAAAGTCCTTGCATATCAAAGCAACTTTCCCCTGCTGAAGTAAATGACATAAATCCCAAAAGGCCTAAACTCAGTGATGGAATCATAGAGGGACATGCTTCAGCTTTGTCCCCTTCAGGTATCTTTCATACAATGACTTCGCAGCAAAGCACATTCTCAAACAGTGTTCATACCTCATTAAGCCATGTTCAGAATGGAGCACCTTTTCCAACAGCTTTTCCAAAGGACAGTGTCCATTTTGAGCCTATAAATGCTATTAAGGAAAATAGACCGGCAAAAACAGACTTTTTGAGTCTAGCAAGTCAAAACCAGATTGTTGATCCCAAGAAAGGAAGTCTGGTCATATTACTTCGTGACTTTTATTATGGGCAACATAAAGGAGACGGTCAGCCAGAACAGAAGACTCACACAACTTTTAAATGCCTCAGCTGCTTGAAAGTTCTAAAAAATGTCAAGTTTATGAATCACATGAAGCACCATTTGGAACTTGAGAAGCAGAGGGGTGACAGCTGGGAAAGCCACACCACCTGCCAGCACTGCCACCGACAGTTTCCCACTCCCTTCCAGCTGCAGTGTCACATTGAAAGTGTACACACCACCCAGGAGCCTTCTGCTGTCTGTAAAATTTGTGAATTGTCATTCAAAACAGATCAGGTTCTCTTACAGCACATGAAGGACAATCATAAGCCTGGCGAAATGCCCTATGTGTGCCAGGTTTGCAATTACAGATCGTCAGCCTTTGCTGATGTAGAAACACATTTCAGAAAATGCCATGAAAACACTAAGAATTTGCTCTGTCCATTCTGTCTCAAAATTTTCAAAACTGCAACACCATACATGTGTCATTATAGGGGACACTGGGAAAAGAGTGTTCACCAGTGTTCCAAATGCCGGCTACAGTTTTTAACTTTTAAGGAGAAAATGGAGCACAAGACTCAGTGTCATCAAATGTTTAAGAAGCCTAAGCAACTAGAGGGATTGCCTCCTGAAACAAAGGTTGTTATTCAAGTGTCACTGGGACCTCTTCAACCAGGATCAGTGGAAGTAGCATCCATTACTGTGAGCACATCTGATTCTGAACCATCACCCCCCAGGTCTAAAAGTAGAATTTCAAAAAAACCTCGTTAATTCTAGTTTCAGTAAATCTAAAGCAGGTATTTCAATCAAAGTCAAAAACCCCATAAAAAAAAAACAACAAAAACCATACACTATTCAATAGCATCAAAAATAGTGAAACCAATGAGTCATTTATGAATTTCTTTTTAAATTCATGAAATACAGTATTGTCTGATCGGAATTTTGAAATGTTATTTAAAAATTTGCTACCTGGTGTTCATGTACTGTATCTGGCTTAACACATAAAAGATGTTTTGTGTATGTATGTGTGTGAGACAAAAAAGTGGAACCTATTTATTATTTTGATATTTCATGTTACTTGTAAGTTTGAAAGCTCTCATTTCTGTGTATAGAATCTATATATAGAGTTTTTTTTAAGTACTTAATTTTATCTTCAACTTTTTCCATGCCTTGAAGATTTCAGTATTCACTCTAGTCAGACTTGAATGGCTTTGTTACATTATGGTCCCATTTGCTGCTGAGCTCCCAGAAGTGTCTGTCTTGTGCTCGTCTAAAGTAATCTGACCCTGAGATCCTGAGTGTGGAGAAGTTGAGGGACAAGGTGTGGCATGAATGGGAACCAGAAACTGGGAGGTTAGTCAGTGGAGAGCAGTGGCTTCTTATTCTGGTTGAGGGCTCACACACACACACACACACACACACACACACACGCGCGCGCGCGCTCTCTCACACTCTTACTCTGGTTGCGGGTCAGGGCTCACACACACACACACGCTCTCTCACACTCACTCACTCACTCACTCTAGTCTTGGAGCCCAGGCAGAAGGACCACTGTCTCAGAGTAACTTTTCCTAGCACAAGAAGATCCAAGGAAGCAAAACCATTAAAATAAAATGCTTGGTATTTTGGCAAGGGACTCCTGCAGACATGAAATAATCACTGTACCATTGGCTTCAGATGGAAAAGCAGGGGTAATGAATAGAATGGGGCCTGGTGCCAGTGGTCCTCCTGTTGAGTGATCCAAAGAAGAATTCAGTTTGTTCCCTTCCCTCTCCCTTTTGGCTGGTCTTTGGTCAGAACGAATTAGCTGTATACCTCTAAGTCACATCAGTAAAGCAAGTAAAATTTCTCAAGGGAAAGAAGCCCTGACGTCCATAGTTTGAACTGCACTGGACCCACAGTTTGAACTGAAAAGGGCCAAACAAATGGTATCTCTCCAGTTCAAGGACTAGGCTAAATTTAGCTCTCTTACCATTAAACTGGAATGGGGGTTGTCCAAGAATAGTAGGTACAGTGGATAAAAGCAGCCCATGGTGACTTAGTAGAATTAAACCCCTTATAGGGCTTTTCTTTATATTTTTCCATGTACATATATCTTAGCCCAGTTGAACATGTGAAATTTGCAATTTTGTTTCTTGCCTTAGACATGAATGTATTACAGTTAACAGTTACTCTGTTGTGTGTATAGTTTCCCTTATCAAACTAGTTGAGTTTAAAGTCGTCCTTGACACACTCCGATGTGTAAGAAATGTCCCATTTATTTCATTAGATATTAGGTCTTAGAGTTATTGTCCTTCAACTAATCTATCCAACTGTCTAATCCTTGACTATACTGTTGGGGGGAACCTTTTCCCCTTGCCATTTCCAAGGACTCTCACATAACAGGAGTGCTCTCTGAGTATTGGTTCCTGAACATCACCCGTGGCTGTTTCTATGGGTTCCCAGGATTGAGTCTCCTGGGTATTTTCTAGTGCCATCCCTTCTTTTTCCACCTTGACTCAAGTACCTAGAAGCCTCTGTACATGACTTAAGGAAACTAGGATGCTGTCCATAGACCTGAGCAAGGAGAAATGTCTCCTGTATTCCCTTGCTTTCTCCTCTTCTTTAACGGTACCTTATCTCTCCCCACTTCTTTCTTCCCTCCTCAATCTCGTTAAATTCCCTACGCTTTCACAGAAAGCTGGGAAGTGATAGTCATCAGGGGCTTAGCATCCCTTATAGAATTGGGAAGGAGGACAGATAACAAGGTAGCTGTGAGTTTATTGTCTATGGTTTAAAGAATTTCCTGAGTGTAGATTCTATTGTATTTATTTGCTCAATGCTTGATTGATTGATTTGCACTTTGAACATTTTACTAGGCCTTTTTATTAGTTTGCTTGGGCCAAGGCACTTTGTTAATATTTTAGCCTGAGCCTATTTCTTTAGGTGGAGTGTGTGTGTGTGTGTGTGTGTATGTGTGTATGTATGTATGCACACACTTGTTTTAGTCTCAGGTGGAAACTTGTATATAAATAGATATGCAGACTTTTGCATACTTATCTCCCTTATTCTGTTCCTGTAACAGAAATTCTGTTTTGAAAACAGTAAAAATATGAAATATTTTAGTTCTTTCTTTTTGTGGTTGCTTGGTATTATCAACACTGTTAACTGTTGTTTGCTGTTTAACTGAAGTATGACCCTAAGGAGTACAAATTGTTATTTATTGCCAACTACAGGTTCTGGTGATATGGCCCCTGTCTACCTCCTCTTGCTTTTCCATTCCCTGCCATGCTACTCAACCATTTTCCCCACTGGTGCACTATTTTTGACACACTGGCCTTGCTTTTCTTTAAGCAAATCACATTTCTTCCTGTTCCAAAGACTTCGCAATTGCTCTTCTCTTAGAATGCTTTTCTCCTAGGCCTGCATGGCTTGCTACCTCGCTTAATTGTTTGATACTTCCTTTAGTTTGTTGAGCTTCACCAATGTTCTTAAAAGATACTGACAATGAAATCTCCATCCTCCTTCTTACCACTCCCCCTTTTAAAGGCACTTTAAGCCTCCCCACTCTCTTTTACCTCTCCAATCTGGTTAAATTTCCTAGGTTTTCACAAAAAGCTGGGAAGATAATCATCAAAAGCTTTGCTTTTCTTAGAATTGAGCTAGCTTGAGTCAATTTCCGTGCCTGTAACCAAAAGAAACTGAATATAGTGAGTTCAGTTTTTTCAGGAGCTTTCTCTGTTTTTCTATTGATATCTCTATATTTTTTTAACGCAATGTCACTTTGTTTTGTTTACAAATATATTGAATATCTGTCAAGATTACTATTTTGTTATTGACCTTTGTGAATTTCCATGTCTATTTTGCTTGCTTGTTCTTTCAGATGAAATTTATTATTTTGTTAATGTTGCCAAAAATTGTAAGTAAAATAGCAATTGTAATAAAATGTTGTTTTGAAAAAAACCTTTTTGTTTTATTATCTTTTCACCAGTAAAGTTTAAGTTAATTTTTATTTGGTACCACTATGTGGATTCTTTGCCTTCCTGCCAGTTGTGTTTATTTTTAATCATATTGCATTGGCCAAAATTTCAAAACAGTGAGATGTAAATGAGCTTTTCTGTTCTTGGTTTTAGTGAGAATGCTTTACCATTAAAGGTAATGCTCATATTGTTTAATGAATTTCTGCCTTTAGAATTTTTAAAGAAAATTGCTTAGTTTTATTGGATAATTTACGTCTGTTGAGAGTCATTTACATTTTCTTTACTATCCTAAAGTTATGCTCAGCCTGATTCACGACTTTTCTATTAGAAACCTTCCTCTCTCTCTTTTTTTTTTTTAACATTTTATTTATTTGAGAGAGAGAGTGAGCAAGAGAGAGAGCCCAAGTGGTAGGGGAAGAGGCAGAGAGACAAGCAGACTCCGCACTGAGCAGGGAGCCAGGCACAGGGCTGGTCCCAGGACCCTGAGATCATGACCTGAGCCAAAGGCAGATGCTTAACCGACGGAGCCATCCAGGCATCCTGAAACCTTCCTCTCCTGAGGTAATATTTCCACTTCTTCTACTCAGAATCTCATTCCTTTTCTCACTTTTAATTTTGAAATGGATTTCCTTTTCCCTTCATTAGATTTGCCACAGTTTTATCAATGTTTCTGATTTCCTTTTTCCAAGGAGCAACCCTTGATTTATTATCTCAACTAATTCTGTTTTCTCTATTTTTGTCTTGATTCATTATATACCTCTATTTTCTTTAGGATTGTTTTTTTTTTTTTATAAAGACCTTTTATTTTAAAAGTTTTATTTTTTTGGGCTCCTGGGTGGCTCAGTCGTTAAGTGTCTGCCTTTGGCTCAGGTCATGATCCTGGGGTCCTGGGATCGAGCCCCACATCGGGCTCCCCACGCGGGGAGGCTGCTTCTCTCTCTCCCACTCCCCCTGCTTTTGTTCCCTCTCTCGCTGTGTCTCTCTCTGTCAAATAAATAAAATCTTAAAAAAAAAACAAAAGCTTTTTTTCTTTAATAAAAGTTTAAACTTTGCCTACCTTTGTTTACAGCTTTGAATCCCAAATATTTTGATAGCATATTTTCATTTTTATTAAAGTTTTCATTCTACATACTTTTCTGAGTAAGTTAATCCCAAAGGTATGCAGGCTGAATATTTTAGTCTGAATTTACAGTTTACTGTGAATTAAATTTTCCTTGGAGCTTTGAGGTTATACACTGTGTGTGGGTATACACTAAATGTCTTCATATACACATCCTTTTCAAATTACTACATGGGTTATTAAAAAATATTTGATAAAAATATGAACTGTTTTAATTCTAGAAATCTGTCCCCCAAAATGAATATAGTATAAAAGGTAAAAGTATGAAAATACTCATTTGAAAGAAATTCCTAATGACAAAACTTGGAAATGTTAAAGAAAAATTATTCATGACATCTAGGGTGTAGAATAAGGGGTTTGATCAGATATCGAGTGTGGTCAGATATCAATGGTGGGGAGTTTTCCCTAAACTGACCCAATAGGATTCTTGCTAAAACTGGACTAAAGGCAGAGCCCAAGGTGGGAGTATATTATCTATTGCTTTATAACAAATTACCACAAAACTAACAGCTTAAAAAAACTCATCTCCCACTGTTTCTGAGAGTTGGGAATCCAGGAGCAACTTAGTTGGGTTGTTGTGGCTCCGAGTTCCATGAGGTACAGTCACCTGTACTGAAGGTGACTGAAGGCCTGACTGAGCCTGGAGGATTTGCTTCCAAGATGGCTCACTCACATGGCTATTGACAGGAAACTCCAGTTCCTTGCTCACTGTTGGGAGAAAGCCTCAGTTCCTCCATATGAGCCTTTCTACTGGGTTACCTATGTGTTCTCAGGACATGCCTAGCTGGCTTATAGAACAAGTATTCCCAGGGAGTGAGCAAGGAGGCTGCACTGTCTTTTATGACCTAGTCTCAGACATTTTACTCTGTTATTTCTACAATATTCTATTCATTTGAAGTGAGCCACAAGTCCAGCCCACATACCAAGGGGAAGGTAATTAGGCTCAACCTTTGAAGGGGGAAAAAATATGGGCATAATTTTAAACTACCAGGTTTCATACTTGGGCCACATTATTTATTACATACCTCCTAATGTGCAAAATACATTCACCTGAATCTCATCACCTAAATCAGGTCTAGATGTGGATCAGGTTCTAGGGTGGTATTCCTTATGTGCGGTATCTCAAGAACAGTTCGTCTAGATCTTAAGACCTGTGAACAAAAGAGATGAGTTATCTGCCCACCTACGTCTCCACCCACCACAAAGGTGGGACAGGCATAGGACAACCTTTATAGACATGCCTGTTCATAAAGGGGAAGGGGAGATGGCAGTCATTTGTCAGTAGCAATTCTGAAATCCCACTAAGTACATGTTGGTGTTCATTGATTAGGACTCAAGGCCTGGAAATTCTCTTGGCTTTGATCTCA